ACCACCTGTGTCTTGTCCGATCACCACGGAATAAAGTTAGAATTCAATAACAATTCGAACACCAGAAAGCCTACAAATGCGTGGAAGTTGAACAGTCAACTACTGAATCATCCCTGGGTCAAGGAAGAAATAAAGAAAGAAATTAAAGTCTTACTTGAATTTAATGAAAATAAAGACACAACATAGTCAAACCTATGGGACACAATGAAAGCAGTGCTAAGAGGAAAGTTCATAGCACAAAGTGCCCAATTAAAGAAAACGGAGAAAGCACACATTGGAGACATAACAGCACACCTGAAAACTCTGGAAAAAAAAAGAAGCAGACTCACCCAGGAGAAAAAGAAAACTGGAAATAATCAAACTGAGGGCTGAAGTCAACAAAATAGAAACACAGAAAACAATCCAAAGAATCAACGAAACAAAAAGTTGGAAGATCTTCAACAACCCCTCATCAGATAAAGGCCTGATCTCCAAAATATACCAATAACTCAAGAAACTAGACAATAAAACTCCAATTAACCCAATTAAGAATGGGTTGCTGATCTGAACAGAGAATTCTCAACAGAAGAACTCCGAATGGCCAAAAGACACTTAAGGTTATGCTCAACATCCTTAGCAATCAGGGAAATACAAATCAAAACAACTATGAGATACCATTTTACACCGGTCAGATTAGCTAAATTCAAAAACACCAATGATAGCCTATGCTGGAGAGGAGGTGGAGAGAGGGGAACTCTCATCCGTTGTTGCTGGGAATGCAAACTCGTGCAGCCACAGTGGAAATCAGTGTGGCGGTTTCTCAGGAAACTGGAAGTCAACCTCCCTCAGGACCCAGCAATTCCACTCTTGGGGATATACCCAAGAGATGCCCTATCATACCAAAAAAACATTTGTTCAACTATGTTCATAGCAGCACTATTTGTAATAGCCAGAACCTGGAAACAACCTAGGTGCCCATCAATAGAAGAATGGCTAAAGAAGGTGTGGAACATATATACACTAGAGTTTTACTCAGCGGTAAAAAACAATGACATCTTGAATTTTGCATGCAAATGGATGGACATAGAAAACGCTTTACTGAGTGAGGTAAGTCAGACCCAAAAAGAGGAATATGGTATGTATTCACTCATAAGTGGATTCTAGCCATAATTAAAGGTCTTTGAGCCTATTATTCGATAACCTAGAGAAGCTAAATAAGAAGATGAACCTGAAGAAAATCATGTATTTATCCTCCTGGAGATTGGAAATAGACAAGAGTCCCAGGTTACCTCGGGTGCATGGGGCGTGGGGTGGGAGGGTTGTTGGAAGGGGAGAGGGTTAGCGAGAAGGGAGTAGGGGAGGAAGGGGGAAAACTCGGGGGACTGAGATGAGGGGAGGGAGGGAGGATGGATATGGGATCAGGGAAGAATATATCTCAACTAAGGGAGTCATTTTAGGGTTTGCAAGAGACTTGATTATAAATGGGATCCCAGGTCCAAGGAGAGATCCCCAGATTGTTCTCTGGACAGAGGAGAGGGTGCCTGAACCGGCCTTAGCCTATAACCATACTGATGAAGATTTTGCTTATCACCATAGATCCTTCATCCAACGATGGATGGCGATACAGACGGAAACACACATTGGAGCACCGGACTGTCCCCCCATGGTCCAGATGAGGAGCAGAAGTAGGAAGAACATGAAGAAAAAACTCAGGACCACGAGGGGTGCGATCACCCACTGATACAAGGGGACTGTTCTGATGAGAGTTCGCCAAGGCCAGTTGGACTGGGACTGAACGAGCATGTGATCCAACCAGATTTTCTGAATGTGGCCGGATTCTCTGAATGTGGCTGGCCCGGAGCCTTTCTGAAAAGCCATTGACAATGACACTGTGACTTGTTTCCTCTGCATATACTGGATTTTTGGGATCCAGTCTGTTTGGATACTCACCTTCCTGTACCTGGAGGGAGGGGGGAGGAACTTGGACTTCCCACGGGGCTGGAAGCCCTGACTGCTCTTAGGGATGGAGAGGGAGGAGGAGGGGGAGGGAGAAGTCGGAGGGTGTTGGAAGGAGGGGTGGAAATGGAAACTTTCATAATTTAATAAACTTTGAAAAAAATTTTAAAAAAGTGAAAAGGGGGACATAATAACAGACACAGAAGAAATTCAGAGAATCATTAGATCTTACTACGAAAGTTTATATGCCACAAAGTTGGTACTTCTTTCAACTCACTCTTTTTTTTTGAGACTGAGTTTCTCTGTAGATTTAGATCCTGTCCTGGAACTACCTCTTATATACTAGGCTGGCCTAGAACTCACAAAGATAAGCCTGCCTCTGCCTGATAAGTGCTGGAATTAAAGGAGTGCAGCATCACCATCTTGCCTCAACCCACCTTTAGTGATGTTCTTTGTGCCTAGTTGGGAGGGATATGAAGGGATGGGGAAGTAGATCATGTGTAAATTTTGATTTAATCATTCTATCTGTGAATAAAATCTCATACAGTTGTTTATTCTTAGTACTGAGCAGTCATAGTCTCTGCAATCAACAGTTACTGCTGATGAATGGAGAGTAATTTTAAGTGGGGATGTGGCTACTCTTAGTTGCCATTGTCCATTGGGTGACTCAACACACACAGGAATATGATCAGCATTAACTAGATTGGTTGTGTCAAAAAAGAGGACCTGAATTTGTTAGAAAATTGTATGGGGCTGGCCAGAGGTAGGAAAACAGGAAGGAAAGTTTTAAGTCAGGGTATGACCAAAATACATTGCAAACATGTAAAATCCATCATCTTAGAACATTAATGGCCTCCAATTCTAACGTTCTTATGAATATCTGGTTCATGAGCAGCGATTCCCTTCCATTACTAACTTAAGTCCTTGAAAATTATATAATTTCCATGAACAGTGGAGTCAGCCCTATCTTGTTCCTTTTTCTTCAACAGCTCTAATAATGTGACTCTTGTTCTGAACATATCCTCCACTTCTCATGGACCCTGAGCTCCTCAAAACCACTAGTCAGATCGAGTTCTAGGGACAGGATCTCCTACGGATCCTATGTCTTGAGAACAACTCCCTTATTTATCTTCTAGGAATGTTAGAGAAACACAGACTCTAATACAGCCATAATACAAACATTTAATCTTCATTTAAGTAAAATAAAGAGTACTTCATGGTACTATGAATGTAGACAGGAAAGAAATAATCCCATTACCAAAAAATTGTTGGTGGTGTAAACTCACACAGTGCTTCACTAAGGATTCTTGTTAAATGCCAACTCAAATCCGTGTTTCTATTTTACACTATTAGATTGTGGGTTACTTTATTTAAACTTTAAAACTAAAGTGTAATAGACATAATTATTAAACTCTCAATTTCATTACTTTGATGTGGATCAACTATTTACCAAATTCATGGGGTCCTTCTAATTAATTAGAATACTTTAGCAGTCTCAAAAGTTTAAATTTTTCCAATAAGTAAATAATTAATAAGTTTATTAATCAAACAACTATCTCTTGTGTTTTGGATGATATAGTGTGTTCCAGTTTTCTACAATCACGTTGTCTGTGGACCTCTTTTATTTTTAACTCTAGAAACAATGAGAGGACATGATCAAGAGGGGAAATTCCAAGGGTGTCTCCATACATTATTAATATCTCTGCCACACTTTAGAGGTGGATTTCTGTCTTCAGTTATTTGATCAGTCATTTTCTTACTTCAGTGTGGTCTATGCAACACCATTTGTACATTGTGTTAGAATATCACTAACACATCATGCATGTTCTTGGTAAAAACTTAATTCACTAGAAATTAGATCTCTTAATGTTGGCATATTTTATCCAACAACTTTGTTTAAAAGATTTTCCCTGTTAATCATGTTTCCCATGACTTCTTTTGACTGCTCCTTGGCTTGATTTAAGGTAATATAACAATGGATCCTTTTCTTAAAGCATCATGTGGAATTGTTCAGTTCAAAGTTATGTGTCCTCATTTTAGGATTCCAATATTCTCGTCAATCTGTTCTCTAAGCATAATCTTGGACTACTGGTGTCAATGCCAGAGTTTCCAGAGAGGCCTCAGCCTCAGATGAGGACATTTCCTTTAATTTGGGAGGCTACCTCAAGTTGATGATCCATTAACATGGAGACCATCCTCAACACTGCTGCTCTAAATGACAATTTTCTAGCTCACACATGAGACAATATGCTCTTCATCATCAGCAACAGAGAGTGCCAGAGTAGTAGAGTAACTCTGGGAGCCTATGTAAGCAGTAACAGCATCAACAAATCTCAAACTGAAACTCAGTTTTTATAAAACTTAGTTGCTAAGAGAAGGGATGGTGACATTTGGAAGCAGGAATGAAGCTTACACCATCTGGAATTTGCACACTTGTGGCTGAGAATTTTGTACATTAGCAGCATGCAAATATACCTGTAGAGGAATAATTCCTTGAGAATTAAGGTGCATACTAATTTTTGACAAGATGCAAATGTTTAAAATTATAACTTTACACAAATGATAGCCAAGTGTACTCTTTTAAGTTTTCTTGGTTTAGAAGAAGAAAATATTGTACATTTCATTTTCAAATCTACCCTTGGAAGGTGAATTTGACAGAGAAGTTGAAGTTTCTCCATCACGTGCAAAAACAAAGAGAATATACTGCAAAACATTCAAAATTCCCCAGATTTATATTAAAGTTTAAGTCAACAAGTGTCCCAATTTCAGACTCCTTTTGGAATCTTAATTTGCACACACACACACACACACAAAAACACACACAAAGCCACAACACAAAATATATTAAATTTCATGCCTTTCTTTTTGGTAATCAGAAGCAATTGGAAAACATAGACGGTATGTAGAAAAAATGAACTATTGTATGTACACATAGAAGTTTGAATATAAAATGACAAATGAGAGGGGCCTCAGGATATGCTTGGCTGGAAGAGGAAACCACAGGTTCTGATATTAAAACTCAAGGTCATGAAGGATATTCCTGAACTTCTCAACCTCTGAAGTGAACCTTATTTTGGTTTTCAGTAGTCCCTGTTGGTCCTTAGTGCCCTCTGCTGGTCCCAGATGTCTCTATAAGGAGATTTTTTTTGTGTAGGCTCAAATTGGAGTTTCCTCACTGTGTCTCTAGTGCAGTAATATATGGCTGTGTCTTCAGTGTGCAGACTGTTCAATTTTAAGAAGACTTCATTCTTGGAGGTATCCTTGCTGATGGTGATTCGAGATTGGAGAGTTGAACTGTACTTTGGGCTTCCACCCCTCCATATTGCTCCCATCCACTCCAGCCCTTTTCCAAGAGGCTGGCGAACCCAGGACATGTCATAGTCAGCTAATGAGAACCCAGAGACAGTGCAGGTGAGTGACAGGGTCTGTGAAGGCTGCACCAGGCCAGGTCCTGTCTCCTTCAGCTGTACCTGGGAAAAGACACCTGGAGAGAAGCAACATCTTGATCAGTCATATATTACATAGATGACATGCCTGAGTTCCTTTCCTGAAATCCCGAAACACTTACAACTTGGAAATGCCACCAGGCAGAGGAGCAGCACCAGAACAGCCATGCTTTGCTGGAAGCTCTAGTGAGAAGGGGATGAAGCCTCTCAGCTCGTCCTGGGCTTTTATAGTGAGCCTGAGGGCTGCTTTGCATTGGCACAAGCTCCTGAGAGGATAAAAGAAAGCACAGGATTTGGTTTCCACTTCCCTCAGGTGAATGAGATTTGTCTTACGTTTCTTAGAGGATTTGAATATAGGAACTCAGGAACATTTTCTTGTTATTGTCTGTATTTCCAAACCCTGACACATGGGAATTAGTATGAATCACACTGTGTAGACCTGGCAAGCAAAACATAGGAGTGTTTATGCTAAGTGAGTCCACATTTATACAGTGCAGGCAGAACATTGTACCATAACCTCAATGCATTTGTATAGCTCTGTAAATTGCAGCACTGAACTTAGTACGGAATTGTGCCTCTTAGTTATTAGTAACCCTACTTTAAGAAACAACTTAAAGTTTATTCACTTGGTGTCAGCGAAGTCATTCTTATTCTTATCACTTGTCTAGAAGATAACTTGTAAAGAAGAAGCTCACTAACATTATTACATGTGATTTCAAGTGTTTATCTGAGAGGATACCCAAAGACTTATTTGGTTCCTACCTCATGTGACTCAACCTATTCACTTTCTCATTTTGGAACATAGTATCGAGGGACTGATTTTAGTACATCTTGACATATATCAGTCTACCTTTCTCTGTGTACTTTTATCTCTCTTTTTAGCCAGTAACAGAGAAAAACACATGTTCCTATATGTAATTATTGCATTAATAATGGATGGGAAATTTGGCTGTCAATAAAACTTCAGGAAGCACACTAGTATGCAACTAATCTTGAGAGTTGTGGTAATAAAAGTGAAAAATAGGGAAGGGAAGCTGAACAATTACAAAAAATGGAACAGTAGGCAGTTATGAATATGGGAACCCTGTGCCTTGATGTGTAGATCACAATAGAGAACAAGAGTTTGTAGAGCTTTCATCCTTGCTTTGCTAATACAAACCATAGGGGAAATAAAGTGCAGAGCCGCACCCACAATGATCAATCAGCATTCAGAGGATGTCTACCTACTACTTAATATTGGAAAACTCATATTTTAAATTCCTTTTTTTGTGTGTGCATAATCTTTGTACTAGAATGGCAATGGTAGAGACAGGTCTTAACATTAGGGATTCAGCCATCTTTTGCAAGGTCTGATGGTCAAGTTCACTATGAGTACTGTGTTTCACATGTTCTTTGCTCTTAATTTTAGAATATTTCTCAGATATTATTCTCAGCGTGTTTCATCATGGGTTTATCTGATATTTCATTGTGTTAACAGAAATTTGAGAAGGAGTATTACATAAATAAATATGCATCTCTTGTACTATATTTGGCCTTTGGTTGCTTCAGAGATATTTTGTGAATGCACTTTCTTATTCATTGGGTTTCCATTTTCCACATATTCCCTAAAGGAAGTAAAATTATTTGTAAAGAATAAGAATTCATGGATAATCCACCTATTACATATAATTATTTTCTACTTGATAGGTAAATTCTTATGCATAAGTCTTTTATCAGTTATTTGTTTACTTATGTCTGGTGGACACATGGGACTCACTTAATGGGTCATGTTATAATGGTAGTACCAATTTGTACATTTGTGATGTGGTTAGAATTCCATAAACATAATACAAATTACAGTCATCAGGGAATAAGGAATTTCATTTGGAAAAGTTTCCAAATCAGGTCGTTCTGGAGGAATGACTGTGGGGTTATTTTCTTGTGTAATGATTGATGGGGAAGGGTCTAGACAGATAGGGTGCTGCCATCCATGGGAAGTTGTCCCTGGTTTGTTTAAGAATGCATGCTGAACAACCAGGGACTGCAGGCCAATAAACAGGGTTCTATATGGTTTTCAATTCAGTTTCCACCTTCAGGTTCCTACTCTGATTTCATGTACTGATATACTTACATAATGGACTGTAAGATTTAAGATGACATAAATCTTTTCCTTCTCGTGTTGCTTAGGTACGATAGTCATGACATGTACAGAATAAAAACTAGGTACTGACTGTTCTTGGCATTGTTTCTGGAGCGGGAGAATTGATTCTTCATGGCATCAGAGCATTTAATGTAAGTACTACCACTACTAATGTATGCAACCCACTCCAGCCCTTCCCTGGAATCCAGTGTAAGTTATAATCACTGTAGGTGAAATCCAGAGACTGCACAGGTGAGTTTAATGGACTTTCCAGGCTGCATCAAGACTCCTAACCTGTACCTCACACTTGACACCTGCAAACAAAAAGAATGCTGCTCAGAAAACTGTCATATTAAATGAATATTTTCTTTCTCATGTCTACATAACACATAGCATCTCCTTTCCACTAATTACCTATTAATGACAATGAAAAACAAGCTGTGTTAAAAGACTATGGTGAGTGATCAGTTTTCAGTGATAATCACTGAATGTGAGGACTTGTGAATCCAGAGCTGGGCTCCTCTGCCAGAGTCAAAGAGTCAGGGCAGTGCTGGTTTTCATGGGCAATGAGAAACCTTATTTGCATGTCTTCCTGCTATAACAGGCTCTGGAGTTGGACCCTCTTGGGAATACAGAGCTCAGAATATATCTCACACATCAACGATCATAATGACAGCTATAGAAATTCTCACAAAATTGTAGTTTTGGATTCACATTTTCCTTGTTTAAGGCATCATCACACTCTAGTTAGTACCATGTTTTTGTGTGTGTGTGTGTACACAGAACATGCTAATATATACTGTCATGTCTCCTTAGTACATTGTACATGTATGATATTGAAAGTACCACACAGCTGTGTTTCTACATTGGAGTTCAATCTTCCTCACTTTCTGTACTGCATATAGCTTCTCCCTGATGTGGCTCTTGGACAAGATCACAGCTGCCAGATTATGTTACCATATGTCATTCCCTATGGTGAGAAAATTTGTGTATTTTCTGAAATTTACTTATTTCTAAGATGATGCTGTTCCCAGGGTAAAGTAGTCTTGCATGTGAGATACTGTTTGTTACTTTCTCTACTGCTTTGCATTTGCTAAGGGACATATTCCTATTGGCAGTAAATACACTAGTTTGGCACCCTTACGTTTTCTCTTTGATTCCTTTAAACCTCCCACTCCACCATTATCTTCTTCCATTTTTACAGCAGGCACCTTGTGACTGTCATCATGTGGTGTTATGTGAGATTTGATTTACCATACTTACTTGGGTTTGATTAAGTTTTAGGATGACTTTTTTCTTATTTAGAAGTTCTCTGGTTTCCCTCCTATTCATTATCTTTCTCTCAACACAGCCCATTTTTGCTTTCACAGCACCAATATTACCCTGATCTTTATTCTCCTTGCCCCTCACTTAAGATGTTTTCCTTTCCTAGGATTCCCATTCTAGTTACAAGGCCTACAAAACAGACACCAGGTCACCTGACACAAAGAATCTAGGTACTGACTATTACAGAAACAGACAGTATTTGTTCTTCTGAATCTTTGTTATATTGTTTGACACAATGATTTCTAGTTCCAGTTACGTTCCTCCAAGTGTCAGAGAACACTTAGAGTGAGGAGGTGAAAAGAATTTAAGACATTGAGCATATGGAAGAGCGCTGTGAATTGCTGAATTTTCAACTTGACATGGCTCTCACATTCATGAACCATTAATGGCTGTTGTTTTTTGTGTAAGCCATACCTAAGACAAAGCCAACCCAAATTTAGTGCTGATTATATCCAGACATTCTCTGTTACTGAAGAGCTGTTGGGCACACATAGTTTCTGGAAACAGAATATTTTTTTTTGAAAGTGTGGTCATTTGTAGGTTTCCCATTTATCAGTCCCTGACTCCATATACGTGCACATATGAGAAGAATCAACTACACTTAAAAAGGTTAGTAATTTGAAATAGGTTTATATTAGGGAAGATATGGGTGGAGTTAAAGGGGAAATAGGACAAAGATGTGATCATACTTAATTGTATATATGTGGAGTATGCATGTCCTCAAAATAAAGAAAAAGGAATGACTATATAATGGCTGAATGGCTTAAAGACAATAAATTCACAAAGAACATGCTTAATGAAGTCTCTGGTAAATGTGAAATATATGGGTAGGCAATGAAACCCACAGAACAAGAAAAGGTGGTGAAGGATTTTTTCACCCTTTATTTCTAGTGATATTGTAGTACCTTGATAATAAAATACTCATGGCACCAACACAAACAGAGACATGCTGGGTGTGCCTGGGAAAAGAAGGACAGAAAATCTAATATGGTGGATGTTGCTTGTGGAGGAGTGAATTGGTTCTTTAGAGCATCAGCACAGCACATTATACCTGCTGTTAATGTTAATGAATGTGACCGACTCTGGTCCCTTCCCTGGAACCTGACATAGCTACTGATGGTGAATCCATGAATTTTGTTTTCTATGGAAACAAAGATGTAACTTCTTCCCCAAGATGTTGTCTTGATACAATCATTTCTACCCAAACTCATTGGTCAACATAAAAGACCCAATCCAGATTGAGGGCAGGAAGATTTTTGCCCAAGAGGACAACACCTCTCACTCATGTGATGTCTAAACTATATGTTATCCTTTGGATTCACATCTCAGACAAGTAATAAATTTTTCTTGACAAGATAAATGAAACTAGTCTCTTGGATGTCACTAACAGTATTCTAACATTTAACAGGGAGTAATAATTCCAATACAATATTCATTAATCAAAATAATGAACATGTTTTTGAAATATCACTATTTAAATCATGGCCTTTATTCAATATAGTGCTGATTGTGGGATGAACAGTGTTCATGGAATTCAAGAAAGGGTACTGGGTTCTCAAGATTTGCAGGTGGTTATTAGCTGCCAGTTGTGTTTGTCAGAAACTGGAGCTGATCCTCTACAAGAACAGTATGTTCTCTGAACCACTGAGGTGTTTCTCCTGTACTTGAATGAACAATCAAAGCCTTTTCTGTAATGCTTTTTTTCTAGTTTGGTTCACAATGGTCTAAATATCACATTGAGCTGAATGAACCTGAGAGACATGAAGTGAAAATCAGACACCAAGAGGACAAAAAGACTTCCAATCAATGGAACTTGAGAA